CTTGCACATTGCAGTATCGGACTTTTCCCTTTTTGCGAACGTGTGTTAACAGTAGCAGTTTTGCCTGAAGGAAGCCCAGCTAAAGTGATGTTTGAGATACAAGACGTTTAAAGGTCAGTGAGTGGCCTGTAATATATAAAGATAAAGATCCCCTGTATAGCCTTAACAGACTGTAGGGGCAAGTGCTGTTAGCGAGCACCTATGAAGGCCCGAACGGTACACGAGGGGGTGGGTGGCCAGCACCACGCCCGACCGCCTTTGTCTCCCCAGTGGCAATGTTTACACACTGCACCAGGTACTCACACCCCCCAAAAGACCATATAGTAAACTGATAAAAAAAACCTCAAATATAAACTACATCAATGTTATCAATAAACTCAACATACTCTACAATCAGCTGATATGGTATTCATTATATAGTGTAGTGTATACCCAGTTACTTTATGTTGATAGCTCAACTTATTGAAAAATAAGTACATTTATTATATTGATGTAGTTCATACTTAGTTCTTTCACATAGGCTCATTGTATGATAGTTGGGTAGTTGCAGTCCTTTAGCGTCCATATACTAAATGCCTCTGTTGATATGTAAACTCTGACTTTAACATAGCTACTTCCGTGACCAGTTACATGCTAATCCCTCACACTAACATCATGCTAATCTCCCAGTTACATGCTAATTTCTGATTTTAACACCCTGTTAATCCAACACATTAACACAGCTACTTCAATGCTAAATTCTTCTGTTGATATATAAACTCCTTTGTCAAGGCGCTCTGCTCCTCCCACCCAGCTTAAAATATGCTGCCAAGCTTAGCAGTGTTCATTGAAGCGCTGTCGTCCCGACAGTTCTGTTCCTTCACCTGAAGAAGGCTACTTGTGTTGTGGCCGAAACGTCGTGAGAATTTTATTTTATTATGTTTTATTTTTATTATTTTATTTCCATTATCATAGTATGTTTTTGTTTGAATTTTGGCTGCAGGTATTGTGGTTAATGCAGACATGAATCCTCGTAAAAAGGTTTCAGTTTTGTTCCCATAAAAAAAAGGGGGAAAACGCTATTATTACATTTTGGTACTGGCAAAAGAGGTCTTATGATGTAGATGCTCACCCCGAGCCCTCATTACTTTGATAGTGCATTGTCTTTGAGCTGTACGCCTTTTGGCGTCATCTGGTCAAGCACCAATTGGGTCTAGGCTCAAAAGAAAGCCGTCCCTTGGTGTGGACCAATCAGTTTCAAGGACAATGCATCATATATTATCATAGTATGTTTTTTGCTTGCATTTTGACTGCAGATTTGAATCCTGTAATTTAATATTTTTCAAATTCTTTAATTAAATTACACGATCATTTGAATTACTCTTGGGAAGGTTGCCTATGTGAATGCAGTCCTGAATTGAAATTCTACTCATGTTACATACTCGCCAGGTGACACAGTTTTCTCACAATTTGGATCGTTGCAAGTAAAACCAATCGATATGGTTTGGGCTCAGTGTTAATTCTATAAATAGCGTGGCTCTTGCCATGGGAACGTGGAATTTCCACCACTGGTGCCAGGCTAGCAACGGAGATAATTTATATAAATTTTCATTAACGACCTTTATTTATCGAAGCAATCCGCACTCATTCTGAATACTTTTTTTGAGGTACATCCTGCATTTTGGATGTTCGAACCAGTTGCAGTGTTTTGTACGTGGGGCAACAAGATCACTCTGAAAGAAAAAAACTGCTTCCATACAAGTGGTGTAAACACACGAACTCTTCACACAGATTTATTTAATAATCCACACATCTGCCTTATGGCCATCTGGCAGCTCAAATCATTGACGCTTGTTGCTTTTCCCAGGCAGTCCTACATCCAAGCGCTTTGGAGGCCCGTCTCTGCTTTTGCTTCCGATAAACATTGCCTCTGAATAGCAGAGGTTTGTTTGGGGTTAGGTCGCGTAAATATATAAATGTGTCGTTAAAGCCGCCACCACCCGACACAGCCAATTCGTAAGTGTTGTCACGTAAACAGAAGATGCCAATTCGTCACTGGTACAGCACACCGGTATGTTGGAGAGCCAACCACGAGCTCGCAATGCCCTGATCGTGGCATTGTCTTTGTGCTGTTTGCCTTTTAGCGTCTTCTTGTCTAACACTGTTTGAGACGAGGCTCTCAAGAAAGCTGTCTCTGGTGTGGACCAATCAGTTTAAAGACAATGCATCATCATATACTACCAGAGCATGTTTTTTTTTGTTTGCATGTTCACCACAAGCATACGTGGTTAATGCAGACATTACTTGCAAAAGGTTGCTGTTTGGTGTTTTCAAATCTTGACACTTGTTTTATTGCCAGAGAGGGTTTAAACCTATTTCTATATTTTGATACTTGACAGAGACGTCATGCAGTGGTACTTTTTGCACTTGATATGACAACTTTCATGTTTAAAGTAACCGAAAGAGTTTTTTCATTGATATGGCAGCTGTGATTTTCTTTTTACTTTCTTGTGGGTATTGAAATGAACCGCAAACATTTCACTTCGATGTCTATAGACGTGAGGATATGTGGTCATGTCAAAGTCTGAGCGGCAGAAACTTCAGAACAGGCAAGAGCACGTGTAACATGAAGAAGTCTTAAAAGCTGCCTTGGAGTTTTTCATTATTTCTAAAGTATGCAAGACTGTCTAAAACATGGCCAGGCCTTATCTATAATAATGCAATGAATGTGCAATTCATGAAATTTGAAACAAGGCACTTTATGCGGTATTTGTGCTTCAGTGAGCAAACGAATGTATAGTGCATCTTTCACATCACTTTCTCTCGTAGTTTGTGTGTTTTAATGCCACCATGTTAATGTCCAATGCACGTTGCGAAATCCCTCCGTTTTGAGGAATAGAGGCGGATCGACAGATCGAATAAAACTTAAATTTGAGACCAATAATTATTATTAAGAAGTAAAAATAATGATCGACGACATTTTCTTAATTCACCACCCCTTTGAGAGTATTGAGACAACTCTCCCCATCTCTGAGAGGGTGAACCAGTGACCTCTGGATTGCAAGTCCCGTATGCTCACTATTACACCATGGCAGCGTACCTCGTGTGTGTGTGTTGAAGTTCTTTCGCAACGTACATAGCCAACCGTGCTCATCGGAGGTGCGAATAAAAACCACGGCAATTAAGAAATACCACTCAAAGTTTTAGAGAGGTGGGTGCATAAACTCGAAAATTTTATTGCCTTGCTTGATTCCCCCAACTCTTACGTCTAGAGTGCTGGGCTATAACTGTGAGCCACTATGCTCTGCTTTTAAAGGTACAGAGTTAAGTAAATCAATGCGCACATTAGATAGCGTTCATGAAACGATGAAAATGGTCAAAAGTCATACCGATGAGACGAGCTATTCAGGTTGTTCAGAGTTGATCACTGTAGCCGGATCGTGTTTTAGAATTGCCTGGCTTTCCTTTGTCATCTCTGTGGCCCTGCATTTGTGTCGCCCTCCAGTATTATTTTGCTCTCAGATGCGTTCACGGGTTTGCACCGCGTGTCGTTCGGCACGGTGTCCGACGTTTTGGCTCCACATGCTGGGAGCTTCTTCAGGAACTGAATGGGATGGGCTCATATTCTCCCTCGATGATTTCGTGGCCTGCCGTCGCTGCTGGTTTCCGACGTCTTGGTGCAAAGGCAGCCGATGTTACTCGTGAGATTCCCGCAAAGTTCGGTGTTGCAAAAAACAATAAAGCAGTGCTGCAAAGTGGCTTGCTCTTTGGGCATGCGAAGATCGTCGATTGTGATCGAGTTGCAAGCCTCGTCCACGTTGGGGGTGAGCGGGGCGACTTCGGGACCGTGTGTTGTCCAAGAAGCTGTCGACACGTCCAAGAGAGGCGACAACGCATCGGAGAAGACACACACGGCACAACTGCAAGAAACAAACTCCACGAAGTTAGAACACTTGCCTTTCACCAACATCCGAAGTTTGACTGAACGCTGAAAATCCATAGGTCCAGCGATAGCGCTGCCTTTATTAATGGCGATATAACGCAACTGGTGTCAACTGTGGGCAGCTGCAATCGTGATTAACAACGTGTGTACATCCACTGTCCTATTAATGAGAAGTAAATATACGTGGGACATTGTCCAGAAGCGTGGGAAGCCCAATGGCGGCTGCGTTGTGTTTATATTGTTGAATGGGTCTGCTGGTAGATTGCTTCAACAGTTCCCCTCAATCAAGATTCATGGGCCACTGCTATTTTTCAGAAACTATCCAGACACAAAGTTTGGAAATTTCCTCGTATTTTTGGAATGCGCTGGCTGTATTTCAACGCATTCAATCAGAACATTTAAAATACCACACTGCAGGAATACACTGTGTTTAGAGAAGCATACCTTTTCAAGATACATATCTTATTAATGTAGATGTGTAACATTTAGTGTGTAGTTATACATGGGAGTGAAGCATTGTGGGGTTTGTGAACCTGGCGATCCCCAATCACGGCTAACATCAGTGGCGATTTAAGCCTGAGCTGGTCCTTGGCCCCTAGCCGTTCAGCGTGATGGTGAAGTGTCGCCCAACAACCTCCAGGACTGATACGGTGAATATAGGGAGACCATTCAGCTGTGGATTTACAAAGCGCTTGCACGTGTACATTATAATTCACGAGCCTTTTGCCCGTCCAAGGACGGGTGTATTGCAGTAAATCTGAAACTTGCAAGTGAAAATCCGAGCACGACGTGATATATTCATTGCATCCATTCGTGTGCAATTTGCAAGGCCGCGGTGACACAGACTTATTTCATTTAAAGGTTATAATCCATTGTTCATCATGACGTCCTTTTTACTTTGATGTCTCAATAGCGTGACGGAGATCACGTGACGTGATGGTTCTGCCTTTGTAGTGAGGGTTGTGTGTTGACGTCAAGGAGGGGGGAGGAGGCGCCTCGCCCCCCATGTGGAGTGACGTCACCAGCTAATTATTATTAATGAGGGGGGGTCCATGTGGAGGACGTCACCTGTTCATAATTATTAATGAGGGGGGCTTGTCGATGTGGAGTTACGTCGCGAGCCTTAAGGACATTCCTGCGTGATTATAGTAGGTATAGCAGACTACAGAGACAAGCATCAATCAATCGACACACTGTGCTAGAACATTCACGTTTTTACTTTTGTTAAACTAAAATATATGCACACATATATAGGGTAATTATATCATTACTGCACACTATATATTAAAAAAAAACTGGATTACATTTTCTCTTGTTATGTTCTACAAAGCGGGCCTTGAATGCAGCACAGGGAATTGTAAATTTGCTGCGACATTTACAGATTGTTTACGGCTGATAACGGAAAGTTCCTCATGTCTGCAAACGTGTTTAACTCGGCTTTGCCAAACAAAGTTGTGTGTAATCTAAATGACCTTTAGAGCGTTACGAAACCAACTAATAAGGGCCGATGTACTTCCACGTTCTTTTATTGCAGGTAGGTTTCTTTTCTGCCCGATATCATTTGCCCGTGCGTGAGTTGTTAGGCAGGAACCTTTCGCAATATATCTACGGTTAGGCACACGGCTCTAAACGGAATGGCGCTTTCGGCTGAGTTTTCTCGTTTGAATTGAGCCACGCAACGTGCCAGTGCAGAAATGAAATCTGCTGGCCCCGTGTGGGAGGAGTCTTGACGTGGATGATTTGTTAGCAACAGCTGAACAAAAAACTCCTCCCTCCAAGGAACATGCGCACGCACACAGAGAAGAAGCGGTAAGTTCGAGACACAGAATCCGCAGGGGCGAGACGCACTCGCCAGCGCTCGTGTGTGTCCGAGACAAGCGCGGACACACACGATGTGACCTCAATTTCCGAGCTAGCTTTCAAGACAGGAGATAGTGTCGGGAGTACATCGCTAACCCGTTTGCGTTTGTCGGACGAGGAGAGGGTGAAAGTGGGACTGTTGAGTGAATTTGTCAGATTTTCCCACGTCGAAAGGAGCAAGGTGAGTCAATGTGTTTGTGCTTTGTTGTGCACATCAGTGCGAGAGTTCGTGGACGGTATTGCACCGCGTGTTCAATTTACGAGACGCGTGCTTTTGTTCTTCTTGTTTGTCGGCGCAAAGCTGTTGATTCAAAGTCCGTATTTTAATAATGCACTTTGACTCCCCTCCTGTGTGTCCATCAAAAAGCTGACACTGCCTTCCAAGTGTACTTACAAGCATGAGAGTCTGAGAATACCCCGACTGCTCTGATCAAGAAACAAGACATGCGTATTCGGACTTTACAGAGAATATCTTCACCTGCACGGTCATTAAATGTTGTAAGTGATTGTCCGCAATTGTATTTTTACTCAACAGCTTCAGGCATATTCGTGGTTCTTTCGGTAAAGTCACGTAGAAGGGAAACAATAAAATAATAAAAATATATTTTCCATCGGTGCCAACACCGTAGTTAAACGAATTTGCTTTAAACAATGGAAACATCTTTTTCAAAGGGCCATGCTACCAGAATGTACTGCTGGAGATGTAGTGAGTTGAGAGATGCATGCAAGGTGTATGTACGTTTAACTTCTTTTGCACCGTACGTAGCCAGCCGTGCTAATCGAGGATGCGTGGAAGATAGAGGTACGAGAGGGGATTTGATCTTAGGCTAATTAGTTTATTCGGATTTTTTTAACAACCCGTGACCCTTTGAGCGACTTCGCTCCCTAAGCTTTCGCTTTGTTTTCTTGATTATGTCCTCACACCACCACTGTTGCAAGACTCTCCATGATATATATTTAAAAAAATCTCCCAATCGCTAATCTCTGATTTCTTCTTCCCTTAACGTGTCAGTGGCTGTCAAACGTGCCGTGGCTCATTCGTCAAGCTCCTCTCATGGGCAAAAGAGTGCAAGCACGTTTGTGTTACACAACAAAGGAGCCTTGTAAATCTACTTACGTAATATGTGCCCGACTAAGAGTGGAAAATGTAGCAGAGACACGAACATTTACGAAGTTAAAATGGGCAAAAGAAAACTAATATGTTACTTCACGTGCGCTTGGCTTGTTGGAAGTCGCAAAAAGTTGCTTTTCAAAAGTGTCCAGATTATGATGTATCACTGGCCGATGTGTATTTGCAGAGTGAGATGGCGTTGTGGCCAAACCAGTTGTTGCATACCTTCTTTTGGCAAAAAAGGTTGTCCAAGCAAAAAAAACGATCGCGCACTGATTATAGTGTCAGTGCGCGATCGTTTTTTTTTTGTATCAGTGTGCTTTGCTGCCTTTAGTTGTTACACAGTCGTTCGTGCTTCGTCAGTAACTATACTGTATGTTGTGAATATATACTTTATATCCTAACCCCGTTTTTAATTCAACTTCAAAACGTGATCATTTGTACAGAGTTGGACTGAGTCAGTTTAACACGTAGGCTTTCGCGACCAATATTATCCATAATAAAGGTTTTTGGGTTAGATCGCGTTATTTATAAATGTGTCGTAACCCTCCACCACCCGACACGGCCAATCAGCAAAAAAAGTGTCACGTTGACAAAAGACAAATAGTTCACTACTTTAGCCCACCGGTGTGTTGAAGAGTGAATCTACAACATTTACAGTTTGAGTACGACGTTTCGCTGGTAATTGCATCCAGCATCATCGGGCAATTCGCAAGAATGACACAAATATAGACACGTCTGGCCATTCTGGCGAATTGCCCGATGATGCTGGATGTAATTACCAGCGAAACGTCGTACTCAAACTGTAAATGTTGTAGATTCACTCTTCAACACACCGGTGGGCTAAAGTAGTGAACTATTTGTCTTTTGTCAACGTGACACTTTTTTGCTGATTGGCCGTGTCGGGTGGTGGAGGGTTTCGACACATTTATAAATAACGCGATCTAATCCAAAAAAACCTTTATTATGAATTGGACTGAGTCACCATTCATCCAGCCAAATACTCTAAACGCGTGATGTTGATGCAAAATGTGGAGGGGAAAAACCGGAGGACCCGGAGAACAATCCACGCCACCAACGGGAGAGAGATATTCAAACTCCAAATATAGACACGTCAAGTTTGAGATTGAACCTACGACCACCCGCATATCTGGAGAAGGAGAAAATATCTCGCCCAGCACCAGGACTGGGATACTGTGCAAAGATCAGGTTGCCCAATGGCCCACTCTAACCCTGCCTATGCACTCCATTCAGGTCATATCTTGGCATCCTGTGCAGTGATCTGTGTGGAATGCTTTTCCTTTAAAGGCTAACGGTAGGGTCATTGGAAATGGGTGCCCACATATCAGCTTGAGCGCTGTATTGTCATTTGAAATTCGAGATTTCTCAAAGCTCTCCAAATGTGCAGTGTTGATCGATTGCAATGAACATTGACGCTTGTTGAGATGTCTGCTAATGTCTGTCTTGTGTGTGAGCCTGAAAAGTAATACGGTACTTGTGATATTGACATTTTTAGATGTTGATGCTTCTGCTCTGCACGCATGTCATAAAGGTGAGAATCAATGAAAGAAAATCGCTCCAATTACATCTGAACATTCATGAGATACATATTGGTAATAAAACCCCACATGTTTTATGTAACTACATATAATGATCTTGTTTTGTTTCAGGGAAATGTCGATAAGAGAAATTTAAATTGTAATAAAATGATCGATGTCAAGGCAAGACAATATATTGATGAATTTGTAAGTATATGAATGCAGATCAAGCATATATTATATACATAGTTACGTAAAAGCGTATATATAAAATATAATATGAATAAAATACCAGATTAATATAGTGAACACATTCGCGAAAATCTACGTGTTAAACTGATAGTGAACACATTCAGTGGAATAATGAAATATATTCTTGGTTCTTTCGGTAAAGTCACGACAAATGGAAACAATAAAATAATAAAAATATAAAACAATAAAATTCTCACGACGTTTCGACTGCAACACAAGCAGTCATCATCAGGTGTTTCCCTTCTACGTGGTGACTTTACCGAAAGAACCAAGAACATGAATCCCTGCAGTCACGAAAGTTTTAAATCAAAATATAATGAAATATGTTGAATTCCATGCCAATTTTATGTTAACCATGTAAGCAAATACGTTAAATAGCAGAGACTTTGAAATTCATTGCAATGTCTAAACAAAATATATAAATAAAAATGTATATGGCCTTGTACATGTTCATTCTAGATTTGAAGTTGTCGTGACTGCAAGAATCCATACTCTTTGGTCCTTTCGGTAAAGTCACGTAGGTGATTGTTTTTCACCTCCGTGACTTTACCGAAAGAACCAAAGAGTATGCTTGTACATGTTATGCCAATGCCATTTTAATGTCAATAATAATGATCATGAAACGTTGTGGAAACTGGGTCGTTTTATTATTTCAGAGCAAAAGCCACGATAAAAGACGTCCTATAAATTATCTTCAAGTGAATTATACATTCTCAAATGAGGCAAGCAACCACTACCGCATTTACATTCGACATTCACATATACTTTATGTTTGTTTGCTTAAATTGCCTTGCAAATATTTTTAATCGATTATTTTTTTTTACATTTTAGGAGAAAGACTGTAAGAACATCATCAATATTTGTTTGATAAGCATATATTTTAACGAATACAAAACAAATGTTGGAGAAGGGTCATGTCCTCATGAAATCACATCTTACATTTCTGAAGCGTTAAATGATGGCTGTAACAATACGTTCAAATTGGTAAGTTTGAAGCATAATTTCAATTGAAAACAATTTCATCGTTGATTCAATGTAAAAATAAAAGTCATCAGGAGCTGATATTAAATTATCTGAGCTGTACCGGCATATGTCCACCACATTCTAACAATTTTTTTGTTACCAAACACCTTCCCATTTAATTTGTCAATTCGAGCCCAGTTTACTACGTGACTTTAGTACATGTTTGTGAGTACACAATGTATGCAATATGTGGATGTATAAGAACAATTATTATATATTAAATAATTGTGCATTTCAATCAACTTTCCATGTTTAAATGTTGTATTATTATTGGTGTAGAGTTGTGGCACTGTGATTAGAGCGCTGCTCTACGAACCCCGTGAATTGAGTTACATTCTCTGACTCGCCGATGTTACCCCGAGGTGGCATAACTTTAGTAGTTCCAACGTCTTGATGTGGCCAATAACATCGAATTATGTGATGACGATTTTAAACGAGTGTGTTATCAAATGAATCAACTCTCATTAGCCATGTAAATCAATCAGAACTGCTAAGGTTGTGCTACCTTGGGTGGTAGTAGTTTCTGCTCTGACCCATTTGACACGTAGATAATACCATTGGTTATATCTGAACTGGTCTTGGACCTCCCCCACCTTCACCAACTCATGCTGACCAGCGTGGTGAAGTATGGTCAAACAACCCACATGGGGAAGCCATTTTTTGTTCTGCAGCTAAGGTTAGCTACCTGAATTTGTAATGTAAAAGTAATTATATACATACATGAATGGTATTGGTAGTAATGTTGGTTTTATGTAATCAATTATGAAATGTTGAATTTAATACGTGTCTACGTTGTAGCCGGGCTTACAGAAAATGAACATAAGGTACGTGAGTAATGTTGAAGAAAATCTGAACAACTTCATGGTCCATTTTAATTCAACAATAGAGAGAGTTGAAGAATACTTGAAGAAATGTCCAGACAATCTTAAAAAGAATGAAGCTGTTTGCACAAATTTTATCCGAGTAACTACTGGTAAGTGGATATTACTTTTGTCGGCACAAATGTAAAATGTACACTTGTTCCAATTGCACTGGTGATTGTTAATTAGAGAATCATACACAGTAATTATAGGTGAGTAATGTCTTGATTTAAAAAAAAAATCTCAGCCATGACATAAATTCAGTAAACGATAAAACCTCTGTTTGAAATTTTAAGGAATGTGTTTAAGAAGCAATTACAAGCTAATGACAAAATTCAGCACTGATCAACAACAACAACAACTGCCAATCGCCACTAAGTGGTGGTGACGTCACCACGACGATGCTTGTGCCAGGCCATGTGCACCTTGAGGCCACGTGAAGTGTCGAACGCCCACTGGCAGGAGGTCACGGGGCAGACCCAGGTGCCACGGGTCGACTGACTGAGATGACTGGCTGGTGCACCACCTGTGCCCCCTACTGTGCCAACCTGCTGTGCTTTAGCCACCCGGCGCTCCGCTCGTTGTTGTGAGCGTCGCTCCTCTGCCCTCCGTTGTTGTTGGAGGACGACTGCCTCCAACTGCCCAATAGCGTCCTTCATGAGCCTCCTCCACAGAGGCCGATCTTGACACCGCTGGTACCAGTCATCGGCAAGTCCACTCAGCTCCACGTCCTCCTGTACCACATAACTCTATCTCTTCTCTAGCCCGTGCCACGCCCGTTTAGCCCCCTCGATCCGGCTGAACAAAAGCTGTTTTGGCATGCGGTGGCTGGGCATGCGGGCTACATGACCCAGCCAACGCAGCCTTACCTGCCGGAGGAGCTTGCCGATGGGACCTTGCCCAGATCTTTCAAGGATTTGTGAGCTCCTCACACAATGCAGCCTGGTTAAACCCAGGATGGATCATAGGCAGGCCAGCCTAAATGTTTCCAACCAGCGAAGATGCTCCATTAAGGGGGTCCTTGTTTCGCAAGCGTAGAGAAGGGAGGGAATGACCGTGGCCGAGAAGACCTGAAGCTTAGTGCGGAGCGACAGACCAGGTAGCTTCCACACAACGTTACGCAACCGATGAAAAGATATTTCCGCTCGACTGATTCGGAGTGAGATCTCTGCTGTCAAACTGGAGCCGGTCATAAGCACACTGCCCAGGTATGGGAAACTCTCCACTCTCTCCACAATGTCCCATCACCGATTGGGAGTTGTGGGGGTGGAGTATCCAATGGTACAAAATACCCAGGCAGGTGCTTAGTTTTGGTGGGGCTGATGGTAAGGCCCCATCTCTTCGTGGCATGCTCCAGTCTCAGCAGCAGCGTCTACAACTCCTCCTCTGAATGAGCAGCTATTACCAAATCATCGGCATACATAACGTGGTTGAGCAATAGGGAGCCATCCCTTGACCGCACCGGGCATCGATCAGCCTCCCATTATATCTGTACCAAATGGAGATTCCTCTGGGACAGCTATTGAAGGCTTCACGAACTACATGGTCAAATTAGATGTTAAATAATGTGGGAGCCAGAAGACATCCCTGTTGCACCCCAAGGTGTACAGGGAATGGCTCTGACTCCCGGCCACGTTGTTTTACCCAGGCCCGCTCACCATCATGAAGATCCTTCATGATCGTGAGCAGAGGGTCAGGGACTCCAAAAGCACGAAGAACAACCCAGAGCCCAGGCCTACTGATGGTATCATAGGCCTTGACCAGGTCAATAAAGCAGAGATGTAGGTCTTGTTGGAATTCTCTACACCTCTGCTGTAGCAGACGGACAGAAAATATGGCATCTGTGCAGGACCGCCCTTTCCTGAAACCACACTGGGGCTCCGCAAGCCTCTCCTCAGCGTGCCTGGCAAGGCAATGTTGAATAATCCTTGCCAGGACCTTTCCCGGCACACTGAGGAGTGAGATGCCCCTGTCGTTGTTACAGTCTGTGCTGTCCCCCTTCTTAAAGAGGGGGACCACCAGGGCATCCTTCCAATCCTGCGGAACCCGCCCATTGGTCCAGATTGTTGTTATGATGTCATATAGGGCAGTCTGTGCACAAACGCCACCCTCCCTCAGCATTTCGCTTGGGAAATCGTCTCTACCCGGTGCCTTTCCTGGTCTCAGACACCGGATCGCCTTCAGTACTTCCTCAACAGATGGCACCTCAGCCAGCCACTCACAGGGGGTGACTTCTTCCAATATTTGAGGCACTGCAGCCTCAGCAGGGTCATCCCCACTTTGTGTCACGATGTTTTCCTGGCTGAGAGATTTCCCCTCCCCCAGGAGCTCACAGAAATGCTCAGCAAATCTGCAAACCTTTTCCTGGGGGTCGGAGATTGGATCACCGTTTTTCCCCTAATGATAGTAATAGGTGTGGCGCTGCAGGTTACTTTTTTAATGGATTTAAATAGAGATTTATGATCACGGGCCACTGAGGCAGACTCCATCTCCTCAGCAACCCGCGACCACCACCCATCCTTGAGGCACCTCACAGCTCTCCGAACCTCCGAGCGAAGGCTGCGGTAAGCCTCCTCATTCTCTGACGTGGGATTTTATAGCCGATGACAGTGGGCCTCTCGCTTTTTCTCAATCATCCTGAACACCTCCTCTGTCAGCCAGGGTCTCTGGGGAGGTCTGGACCGCGTACCCAAAGCAGCCATTGCAGCTGCATGAGTCACAGTCTTAAACCTTGCCCATTTACCCTCGACATCAGGAGGAGTGGGGGACGATGCCAACCCCAGCCGCAAGCGATGATGAAATTCTCGCTTGCAACTTTCATCAGATAACTGAGACTAGGCCACTTTAGGTTGGAATGGGGTCCTGGGTGTACACCCACCACCGGAGTGGAAGAATGGCAGGGGCATCTTACAGATGACTAGTCGATGGTCAGAGGGCAGATCAGCTCCACGGTAGGTTCTGGTGTCAAGCACATGGGCTCGCATCCGCTGGTCCGTCACTATGTAGTTCAGCAGATGTTCTTGCTTGGACCCGGCATGCATCCATGATGTTGTGTGGATTCGCCGATGCCGGAACAGCGTGTTGGTAATTACAAGCCCATGGGCTGCACAAAAATCTAGCAGCCTCCTACTGTTGTTATTGAGCTGATCTGGCCCATGCCCTCCAATCACTCCAGACCAGGTGCCAGCATCATGACCAACTCGGGCATTGAAGTCACCCAACAAGATGACTCTATCCCGAGGGGCCACTTTAGCCAGCACCTGTGACAGGAGGTTTAAGAAGGCATCTGACTCATCGGCTTTGCCTGCATCCCTCCACGGATGTTCGTCTTCAGTGGGGGCATAAGTAACCACGACCACCACTGCTTGCCTCCGGTTGATGGGAAGACGAGCCCAAAGTAGCGTGGGGCTTACAGCTTCCCACACCTCACCGCCACGCTCCCACGCCCCCTTTATTCTTTTGTTCAAAAAAAGAGCCACACCCTGTTGTTTGGCAGTCTGCTGCCCCGAGTAGAGGACTGTCCACCCCTCATGGTGGCAGGAGCCAGAACCGGTCCACCGGACCTCCTGAATGCCACAGAGATCCAGGCGGTACCGGTCCAGCTCCCGACAGAGGAGTGACAGCCTCTCCTCCGCAGTGAGCGTTCGAACATTCCACGTGGCCATCAGTAGTGGCTTTTCGTTGTTTCTGGAGGAGCCCCCAGGGTAGAGATTCAATCTCCTGGCTCCGCCAATTGGGGTTTGGCCAGGAGACGTAATAGACGCCTGTCCCCACGGGGCCTCCAGCACAAGCTTATTAGTTACATATTTTAGTCGTAGTTTAGTGGTAATTAATTGAAGGTGGAGGGGTTACCAGCCCCTCGCACCTGTCCAGAGCCCCCGTTCAGCCACTGTGGTGGTCACAGACGCCATGAGGGGAGGAGCCAATCGGAATTTGCCCTCCACCCACAGCACTGTCTACGACAGAGTTGCCCGTCCGGCACCGCGAGGAGGTAGGGGGTTGATTAATCACATACACATATACACCAGATCATGTGCCTATGGCATCAAACATCATGCACGTTCTCAAGCTGGCAAAATTAAAGTTAATAATATACAATGCATTCACTGGTCCTTTATTTTCAACATCACCCATTTGTGAATCTGGCACCACATCACTGCAAATTTCGATTTAAAGCTTTTGTGACTGCAGGGATTCATATTCTTGGTTCTTTCGGGTAAAGTCACGTAGAAGGGAAATAATAACGTAATATAAAATATTATTTTATTATTTCCCTTCACACATGTAGTTTGCAGCACTTCATGTACTAAGCATCTATTGTTATATGGTCGCTCGAAGAGGAATTTTGATCACCATGATGCCATCCCACCCCAACCCCTAACTTCCACAATTACCCAGGACGACCCAAAAACCGCATCCAGAGGAAGGGATGGGAGGAGGGGCTTAACATAAAGAGGCGGGGCCTAGTGAGTAAGGGGCAGGGCATACCCATGAAGAGGGCGGGATAAACATTAAAAGGGCGGGGCATAAATATGAAGGAGGTGGGGCCTAAAAAAGAAAAGGTGCAGAGCCCAAAGAGCCAAAAGTCGTGGCCTCGTCAGGATGGGATGAAGCCTGGGGAGTAAAGGGAGAGGCTTTAAAGTGGCATGAGGCAGGGCGTTTCGCGAGGTTGAACTTCCCCGTTGAGTTTAGGTCAAAGTGTAGAATGAAACACGTGCAAGCAAGCAGACAGCATGGCTCTAACTCCGCAAATGCGACCACAGGCCACGGAATTACGGAATAGTTATATTTATAAGTCCTCCATTAATTTCTCCCAAGGAGTAAATAATTGGATTTATCAGAGTAAATTCCAGTACTTTCCTCCATCTTTTGAGATTTGTGGATGTAAACATATTTCCCGGACTATAATTATTCTCAATCTATACTTAACAAAGGCTCTTTCTAATGTCCGTGTTCATTTTTTGTGTATTTGCTTATGCACTTTTTGCGACAGAAACAGTCCTGTGCTTGTAAATACACGAGTACATACAAGGGCTTATCTCCATATATATAAAAGGCAAAGTTGTGAATATGTGTGCCTGTTCAAAATGTTTAGTGTACTTCCCGACATGCAACAAACGTGAAATTTGCCATGTGGGTACTTTGCCGACTGTACACCATGCAAAAATTATAAAAATACACTTTATATTTTTTTTGGGGGGGGGGAGCTCAATAATGTATATATTTTTTGCACGGCAAGTGAGCTGTGACGTCAAATCTGTCACGTGACCCGCGCATGTGGAAGCGTAACGCATTGTAGTGTAGTGGTTAGCGCGCTGCGCTATGAACCCAGCCAACCGAGTTCGATTCCTGCTCACGGCCACCACCGGTGACGATTATTTTAACCGGTCCTGGGTCTTCCCTAGGTCGACTCAGCCTCAAACGAGTAACTGGTGTGGTGTGTGAACATCGCCACTGGGGAGACAAAGGCGGCCGGGCGTGGTGAATCCAAGTCCCGGACGAAGCCGGGTAGTAAAGCTAGTATCTTATAAATAAAGGTCATAAACGCACAATTGCGTGGAGTGGTGGAGCAGGGAGCTTCATACATGTGCTGCGAACCTGTCGACCTGAGTTTGATTCCCTCCACCCCCTCCTCTTCACCAATCCGCACTGACCAGCGTGGTCAAACATTGTCAAAAAAACTCTCCATGACCGATTTGGGGGGGGGAGGGGGGCATGGGTAAACCTTCATCCGGCAGTTGAATGAATGAAAAAATCGTGTCGAGATAATTTCCCCACATCAACAGTGACGTTTTGCTTTTTTCAGATGGCGATCCTCATACGGAAACGTATACGGAAACATACGCAGTGACATTGCCAGCGTCAGGTGTTGGTGAAAAAAAAGACCACAACACAAGTTGATTGCAATGGGTGTTTCACTGACCATTGTAATGTTGACGGAAAGAGGCTTGGCCTAATGAATAAGGGAGCGGGGAATAACAAGGGAAAGGCGGGGCTAAATATTAAGAGGCGGAGCGTAACGATTAAGGAGGTGGGGCCTAAGAAGATAAAATGTTTAGAGCCAACATGTCCAAAAGTTGTGGCCTCATCAGGGTGGGTTTGAGGCCTAGGGGTACAGGGGACAGACTCTAAAGTGGCGTGAGGCAGGGCGTACAGAGAGGTTGAACTTCCCCGTTGAGTTTAGGTCAAAGCATAGAATCAAACACGTGCTGCTAAGCAAGCAGGCAGCATGGCTTTAACTCCGCAAATGCGGCCACAGGCCATCGGGTTACTGTTATAACCATCAATTTTCGCCAAGAGTATTTTGTTGGGATTTATCAAATGTTGCTGCTTGGCTCTCCAACACACCGGTGTGCTGTATGAGTGACGAATTGGCCACGTTCTGTTTGCGTGACAACCCTTACTAGTTGGCTGTGTCGGGGTGGTGGCGGATTTTAACAACACATTTATATATTTACACGATCTATCCCAAAAACCTCTATTATGCTTGCCACCTGAGTTCGATTCCCTCTACCCGTCCCCTTCACCAACCCGCACGGACCAGGGTGGTCAAGTATCGTCAAACAACTCTCATGACCGATGTGGCATGGGAAAAACCTTCATCCAGCAATGAATACAAAAAAGAGGTCTATATAATTTCCCACATTAACAATCCGCTTGTTTTCGTTTCTTTTTGCAGGTGGCGAGCCTCATACGGAAACACAAGCATGGACATTGACAGCGTCGGATGATATTAAAGCTTACAAAATCATCTTGATTGCAACGAATACATCATTTTCGATCGTAATATTTATACTATTGATCATATTGGTAATAGTCTCATGGCTTCTGCTTCGTGCAAGGTAATAGTGGCACGAACGCAACTTCATTTTTTTGCAACTGTGCTTGATTCATTTTACCACCGGTAACATTTGCAGCGATCTCCATGACAGCATTACCATCAATGATTATAATCTTCCACCATCACGACGTGTTTACCGCTGTGTGCAGTGGCACATGCCAGTAAAACAACACGTTTGAGGTAGGGTAGGTGGATCACTGAAACGTGTGTGTGTCACAATAATGTGGCCAGCATATGGGTAGGACAACAAGTGGGTTGCTCGGCTATCTTCCACTTTTTATTCGTAGTTATCATCTTGAATATTTGTGAGGTTTTTTTTGTAATCCTTTCAGATTTAGCAACACGGGATCCTCATGTCAACAAGCTGCGAATTTATTCTAATGGTGACATCGCCATCGGGTGGTATGATAAGGAATCCATGAGGAAATGTCACAGCAAATTAACTTTTAAGTGTCACAGAATGCCTGCAAAGGAAGATTTTTGTCACAGGACTTCTCTGTAAAATCCTTAAAGTGGCCTCTTATTATTTACGCAATTGGGCAGGAGGGGGTGGCGGGTGAACTTTCCCCACACATTCTGCAATGAGATCGGTGCATGACAGTCAAATTTCACCAATTCAAGCGCATAGCAAAATTATGAACTTGGTGATTTTGTTTCGTGCAGTCATCAGTCACCAGGTGGAGACCAATCGGATCCTTGTGCTAGAGAGCCACGTTTAACCACATTGACTTCTGAGCCACACGACTAACACTGTGAAGGTGCTTTCACGCTAGAGACATGGCTAAATAAACACATACCACTTATAAAATTTACCATTTTATGGCAGAAATTTGGCGATTGTTGCAAGATGCAAGCCATTTTAATTTTCAATCATTAACAGCTGTGTGTGTCGTATCCAGGCTGCATGAGGTTAATATTAACAGAATAACAATATAATTAAATCCCAGCTATCAATATTGCAATTATATTAAATATCAAACAACATTAGCACATTAGTTACGTAGAATACATGTATCCAGGTGGCACTATGGCAAGACCATTTAATCGCAGACGGTTGCGGGTAGAATTCGATATTTGGGTCTAATTGAGCGTATCAGCGCTCTAGGATTGGCACAAGTACCAGCGTCGTTTGCACTCCGGTGGGACTGGCACTGACCATGTGAATGTGGATTTTCCACCAGTGGTACAGAGCTTCACAGCGGTGATAAGCACTGCCTCATTGTTTGCTTGAACGGTGAGACACTTTTATCTGACTTGAAAGCAGATGTAAACACATGCTTAAATGGCCAGCTAGGTTATTACGCAACGACCCACATTGTTTTTCGGACGATACGCTAACAAAACATTGAACTTGCGTTGTGTCTGGAATTACAGGCGCAGACATATGGCTTCAGAGGGACAGCAATCCCGGTGTGAAGAATTGGGAATTGTGATTGATGAATGGCCCAGCACACGTGATCAAAGTCTTCAACCTGTTGATTTGCAGCAAGTAGCTTCAAAGCATAAAAGACGCGGACATCAAAACCACAGACGTTGGCTCTGATGAAAATAATCAATCGGAGGCTCCTGTACGGTCTCCTGCCTCCTCGTAGGCCGGAAAACCTGGGATGTGGTGTGGTTGCACTGCCTAAAAGGTCAACAGGTTAAACTGCTCGACGAAGGTGTACATGTTCATTGAACACCGCAAAATAAAACACCCCCTACGGCTTTGAAGGCAATCATCGGCAGCAAGCGTCTGCCTTTAAATGCATTGACGCCCGCGTGTGTGGAGAAGAGGGACGTGACACGAACTGCTGGCAGTCCTCCACGTCCACGAAGCCGCCCGAACGTTGTCACTCAATGGCATCATCGAGAGCATACCTGCCTTGGATATGAAAGCCTTCTGACAAAAAAAAAACCTCTCTCAAAAAACACCCCTGAGAGATAGAGAGCGTGCAACGAACGACAGAGATCCCTGCAAAGAAGAGGACACAGATACCGAATCAAAACTGCGACGTGTTGACACGGTGGTCCGAGGTGAATGGTGACCGGCTGCAAAGGGCGGCGATGGAGGAAGACCTTGATGTGAATGGACGTCAACCGTCGGGACACTGGACGGGAATGGAAGCTGGCTCAGTTGAAAGGTGCAGCGATGGACAGGGAGAAAGTCGATAGGCTGGCAAGGAGAGTTGAGTGAGCCTCAACAGCTCAAGGGACCAAAGAACGAGCGGAAGATAAATGACAGCGTGAAATATGGGTTCAGCTTGGTTTGCACAACTATCAACTCGAAACACCAGTTAACTTCAATTGTTTTTTTTTCTTTCACAAATCACATTCTGGATAACTGAGCGGAACTTGCAACGTGTTTTTAAACAACACTGCAACTTTTGTGTTCAAGCTTACAACGATATGATCAGATAGAAAAATATCATCCAGCCATTCAGGTTTTCTTAAACCTTGACACTGAAAAGCAATAAATGCTTACGCCTGAATACCACGTACAAATACCTCTTAAATATGTATATTGTTGTACTTTTTAACTTGGTCGATCGGCCTAGAAATAATGACTTGTTTCAGTTGTAAATCAGTTTGTGAATGACACTCCAACGTAAGTGTATCCTACATATAAGAAAAACAACTAAACACATTAGTCTGTAACACTGGCGTCTTGATGGGGCAGGGTTGTTGGTGAGTGTGTTGAATTTTTTGTTGTTGCTATGTGCACTTGTGCATCACTCTTAAAGTAATACACGTGTGTTTCCTCCATAAAACACTCCCTTAGAGGCCACTGACTTCACGTATTCTTCGCATTGTAACGCTTTATTAAAAAGTAACGGACGTTTTATCCAACATAGCCCACACAATAGAGCGCATGTCTGCTTGCACAACGTTCCTGGACAACGATTGTAACTGTAATTAATCAGATCCAAACCACGTGACGAATACACTCCTTCATATTGCGTCCACGTGCGCGCGACGTGTAAGTGCAGACTGTGGTCAGCACAGCGGTTCAAGCACCGCACTGCGAACCAGGTTTATTATTTTTTTTAAACGCGAGTTCGATTCCTGACCACAGCCACCGTCAGCGGCGAGTGATATCAAACGCTGTGCTGAGCCTCTCCCCTCGGTCGGCTCAGCCTCAAATTGGTGCCTGGTGCAGTTCGCGCAAGACGCCACCTGCAAACTGCACTGCTGGAGACGGAAATCAGTAACAGCGGGGGCTTCTTGAATCTATCTGCGTGGATGAGTGTCCCCCCCCCCCCCATCTAAACGTGGGAGTTCTCTGGGCACTCCAGTGTCCTCCTACATGCTGCGCACTTCAGAATAATGAGTGTTAAAAATCAGTGAGGCTTTCCCAGGAACACTATCTCATTCTTCGTCATCTTAATCATCATCGCCATCATCTTGAGCAGCAGCAGCAACAACGGTCACAGAAACATCAATGTCATCATTCACATCATAGACAGCATCTTTACCATCCTTACCATATTCGTTATCTTAAACATCAATTTCGTCATCATCATCATCACCCTTGTCTCCATCTCTGTAGTCTTCCCTCCTTGCGTGCGTTCTTTCCCATTGTGACGCTGACCGCCCTAGTTCAGAGCGACAAAAGCCTGCAACTCATTCTGTGCAACCATTCTCGACGTGCGATCGACGCGATTCCGCATCATGTACGGTAAAGACTTTCATATTCTTGGTTCTTTCGGTAAAGTCACGTAAGTAGAAAACAAAAATCTAAAAAAATTGTATTACATTTTAAAAAAATTAAAATGTAAAAGAATAAAAAAATAATAATACATTGAAAATAATAAAAGCAAAAAAACCCACAATAAAAAAATAGCAAAATAAAAAAAATTGAAATTTTAAATAAACGCTTTCTAATCGGGCAAGAAATAATTTTTGCCATAAGCGGGCACTGCTCGACTCGGTCCACAATGTGAGGAGGAATGGGTGTGAGGTTCGTGTGTAGAATCTGGTCCACCATCTGTGGGTTTTTTGGGTTGTTGCTAATATGTCCTCTAACCTTGGGGACTTTTAAAAGTGTCAGCTTTTTGTCGGTTGGTAATTATACCACCAGACAATAAAATGCATTTAGATTCAGTTCTCTCCCCTCTTTGCATGACACCTCGCAGGTAGCAAACGTGTAGGCCCACACATGAATTGTAATACTGTATGCGGAACGGGGTCAGCCTCGTAGCAAAAACCCGCCATCATTCCACCAAAAGGTGGCAGCCAAAATATATCAATGAACTGGGCGAAAGATCTCATTCGGTGGAGTTATCTCGAACACCCAGACGTGGCCGGTAGTGGTGTCGTTTGTAATACGGCGTTTCATTCAACGATATGTCTTACCGCGCCCCAGTTTCTTTGAGCGATGGCTTTTGAAGACGATGTCACTTCCAGGAAATGTTTACAGTTCGTGTTAAGAGCAGCATTGGCAATCTGCGTTGGTTCGGCAAAACTGTCGCGCCCCCGAGAACTGTATTGCTCAGCTCACTGAGCTATACAGCTCTTCTTCAGAAGCGGCCTGGCCACAAATGCGAGCTCAACGAAGTGGCTTATCACGTGGAAATGTATTGCAGCCAAATAAATTTGGAGGGAAAACCCGGAGGACCCGGATAAAAATCCAAGCCACTACGAGGAGAGAGAGAGAGAGAGACATGCAGACTCCAAATATACAGCAGGCGTCAGGCTCGGGATCGAACCCCATGAACTCCTGTATACCAGGCGAGGTAGTTAACATCTAGCCACCATGGCACCCTTTGTTGAAGTAGTACATTATATTTGAAAGCATGTGTCTTCCCCACTCTATACCATAACAAATGGTGACCCAAGTGATTAAATGACAAGTAATTGAGGCAACTGCTATTACGAGAAAACTTACATCGATCAAGTCCCTTTCCACGGCGGTCATAGCTATATAACAAAAAAAACATCTGGCAAAGCTATTCAAATACATGTTTTAAAAACTGCCTGACATCTAAAATGTATGTGTTTTATGAAGGACGAAATAAATATTTAAGCTTGGAATTATTAATGGATAATAATTTCAACCAAACTGTTCAAAAAGATAAAATAAGTATTTGATGTATCATGCGGCAAATGGAAATTGTTGCTAAAATGTGATATTCACACTGTGCAATGAGTGACTATAATTCTATTAAATTGGCATTATTGAAGCGTCTTACACCACCAATTCTTCGTGGCATATTAAAGTACAACATTTATCCATTACCACAATGTAAAATAAGTGTACAATTGTTTGTAAACGTTTACTATGTGAATGATTAACAGTGAACTCTTTAAAACAATTATCATCATCATTAGCCAATATCTCTCCACTGCTGGATGAAGACCTCCCCAACACTCTCACCATGCCTCATAGCCCATCTAATCCCATCACACAAAAAAAAAACTGATCTCATTGCTCCACGCGGCTTCCATTCTGCCATTCTTGTCTATTAATCATCATCTCTCCGAGCAGAATCAGAATCGTTATTTATCCTGGATGAATCCGATGAGCTTGTCAGCTCATTTTCACGGATGTCTAGTCGGTGCACGGGGTCGGCACGTTACAACAATAAACAATGCAAAAACACGATAGGAATGCAAAGTATATGAAAGGTAAACAAATCACTTAAAACATATATACAAATAAAGCTAAACTATTTTGTTGTATCTTACCAGCAATGTGTCCTACCCAAGCCCACCAATTTTGCTTAACAGGTGCATGTGACGAAGTTCATTTATCTCTCCATGCACGGTTGTGTACTGTTCAGCCTTTTGTTCCACTGTCTTTGTCATTGTTCTTGCTTCTAATCCATGAGCAAAAAGAATGCACTGATTGTAAACCATTCCCTTTTGTCAAATATTCTGTTTACTTATTGAAAATATATACCAATTCTCCACGGGCTTTGGACAAATTGTTTGAATGGGAGACATGTTGATAGATTTATCGAAGTTATTCAATTAACAACTCAGACACCTCGAGACACATCCCTGTGCCATGAAGTGTGTCTATTGACAAAATGTTTTTGTTCGTTGGTGTGAGATTTTTTCTTTTAAATCAGTTTATGGAAACAGAACCGAAAATGCCACGAGGATAGCAATAAGCAGGACTGTCGAAACAGTTGAATTAGACATCTGTCGTGACATTGGGGATGTCATTGTGTGGTGCCGGTCCGTAGAGGGCCGTGGCGTGCGATGTCCTTACGTCGTGGACAGCAACGTGTGTGTTGCTGTGTGAGGCCGGCTCTAGCACAGCACGGCGTGCGATGCGCCGTGATCGCGTACACCCCGTAGGTGGGTGTAGTACCAGCCCTAGCGGGGCTTGGTGAGCGCTGGGATAGCGCGGGCACCACGCACAGCGTGCAGTGCGGGCTCCCACGAGGGGGAGTGGGAGGGTGTCAGCCCAGAGACAGGGTTGCCCCGGCCCATGGCACTCTGGTTGATCCCGTAGGCACGTGATCCAGAGTGTCCACAGAGAGGCCCCCAGGGGGTGATCACGTGTCCGGGGAGAGCTCTCGAGAGGGATCGAGAGGGAGCTGGAACGCTCGCGAAGGTGGGCGGGGTTGAGGGCGGAGCCGACCCCGACCCGGGAGGATGTAAGGTGGGTCCCTGGGAGGGACCGGGGTCGCTTCGTTCTACAAGCTGGAAGCTCCACGTCCTACGTCTGAAGAGGCACCAACACGTGGCCCGGGACCCGAGTGAGAGTCCAGTCCATCGTAGCTGTAACTCCTGTATGGTAGTGTAGTTAGCTGGGTGGTCACCACCTGAGGCTGTATCTGGTAAAGGGTGTTGTGAAATAAATGTGTTGCCTCTGAAGAGCAACGTCTGCGACTCAGTTAGACTCACTACACATCCATGCAGCATGCTTTTTTGAATGCATGCGATCTTTTTGAAGAAATAACAATGAGAGTGTTGATAAACGAGCGAATTGGCCAATAAAGATTTCACTGAAACTAAGCGAGAATACTATGCGGGGAAATTCCGTACCAAAGTACAACGTACTTTGCATTATTGCACTCTGGGGCATACATTTTCCCGGCAAGCACAACCAATAAAACCATGACCTTTGGCATTTTTACGAGTTGGTGATTCATGACAACACTTTTCACTTGGACAAGTACTGCGTATTATTTATTGCGACACAGGTTATAAATTTAAAATATAGCTTAAAATATGTGTTTACTCAATACGTATCACGATCATGTTCACTGCTAAATTGACGTCCTTCCCTTTGGTCTCGAAAAGTTTGCCAAACGCTTTGCAATATTTATTGAGCAATGGTCTTTTTTTCCAGCTGTCATTCTTATCCTTTCTTCATGTTTTCCCTACACTTGTCGGCTAAGCTGCGTGCACTTCTCCATTGATAAAATCCCCAAAAAGTAAACGCGTTATCAAGCCTGGAAGACATTTGGAGCCTATAACAGCACTCGGCATCACTCATGTCACCGTTTTCTTTAAACGAAGTAAGCCAGGCTTTTAAGGTCTTCTCACAATGGGGGCATCGCCTCCATAGGCCTTAGCCCACTGTCTTCTAACTCTAGCCACTGATTTAACTCGGCTAACCCTAGACACTACCTGCTGTCTTCTAACACAAGTCACAGCTAACCCGAGACACGGGCCAATGTCTTATAACACAAGTCATGGAGTTAACACTAGACAATGTATTTTAATCTTGATTTGAAGCTTTCGTGACTGCAGGAATCCATACTCTTTGGTTCTTTCGGTAAAGTCACGTAGGTAGAAAAATAATAGATCACGACGTTTCGATCGCAACACAAGCAATCGTCATCAGGTGGGACAACGACAGCAAGAACAAACTGCTGAAGTAGGCGAGAGATCTGCCGTGGCACGAGGTTATAGAGTAGGCCTCGGCAGTAGGGGGGGAGAGAGAAGGGGGGAGGGGGGAGGCGGGGCAGAAAGTGGACCCCGTGGCAGCACCCGGGTCACTGGAGTAGAGATTGAAGAGAAATGCACAGAGAGAGAGAGAGAAAGACAGACACAGAAAGTCGGAAATAACAGCTGACATAGGCAGGTAGGATGGAAACATCACAGTCAGTTAAGACTTTACCTGGTTAATAACGTCCTTCCAATGATTGCTCAGTTTGTACCCATCTTCTCGGTTGAAGTCGTGTCTGTGTATATATATCTGGATGGCTTCATGAACAAATCTCTAATAGCCGGTGGGTTTGCAGAGTACCTTCGTCTTGGAAAAGTCAATTTCGTGTGAGCCCACTGCGTTAAAACAATGATCAGCAATGGCAGAGGTATTGGTTTTACCGTGTTTCAGATCTGCCTTGTGTTCACGAACGTGGTCCGAGACGTCGTTTAGTTTCCCCAATGTAACTGCTGCCGCAGTAACAACTCAGTTTGTTGACAACCGGGTATCGCATATCAAGAATCACATCCTTTACAGATGGGATCAAATCATGGATTTTGTGTACTGTGTTGAAACGAACCTGGATCTTGTGTTTGTTTAAAATTTTGGAAATATTTTTGGTAGCCCCTACTATGTATGGCAAAGTGATGGCATTGGTTGGATCCTCAGATGGTTGTCTTCCCATGGCTGGGGAGACAGCTTTGCGGATTGTACAGTCAGAATATCCGTTCATCCTGAGGGCTTGGTGTACGTGCTCCAGCTCACTGGCAAGGTGATGCTGGTCGGAGATGCAACGGGCCCTATGGTGTAGTGTTGTGACGAGGGAATTCTTCTGGGCTGGATGGTGGTGGGAGTCAGGCTTTAGATAGGCATCCGTGTGGGTGGCTTTCCTGTAGACAGTGTCCCAACGAGCCATCAGGCCTCTTCTCAATTAAAACATCCAGGAATGGTAGCTTGCCATTCTTTTCCACTTCCATGGTGAATTTGGTAGATGGGTGTATGGAATTGATGTGGTTGAGAAATTGGTTCAGTGCTGGCAGGCCATGTGGCCAGATGACGAACGTGTCATCTACATATCTCTTTCACGAGGAAGGACGTAGGGTGGATGTCTGGATGGCATCTGTTTTAAATTTCTCCATGAAAACATTTGCTACCACTGGCGATAAGGGAGAACCCATTGGGGTACCCTAATTTTGTTTGTAGAATGTACCATGCCAGGTGAAGTAAGTGTTGGTAAGGCAGTGCCTTACCAAAGTTGGTATATCTGGATTCAGTCTCTGTTGGACCAAGTCTTCAATGATTGCAATGGTTTTTATTTAAAGCTTTCGTGACTGCAGTAATTCATATTCTTAGCCCTTTCGGTAAAGTCACGTTGAAGGGAAACAATAAAATAATAATATATATAAAACAATAAAAATTCTCACGACGTTTCGACCATAACACAAACGGTCGTCATCACCTGTTATGGTCGAAACGTCGTGATAATTTTTATTGTTTTATATAAATTTTATTATTTTATTGTCATCAGGTGATGACGACCGTTTGTGTTATGGTCGAAACGTCGTAAGAATTTTTATTGTTTATATATATTTTATTATTTTATTGCTTCCCTTCAACGTGACTTTACCGAAAGAGCTAAGCATATGGATTGCAATGGTGTTAGGTACAGTTACCTTGGTGCCTGTGCATGATTTTTTCAACATTTTTTTTATAATTATTATTATTAAACGTGTTGTATTTGGGTCATAGAGAAAAGTTCAAGTAATTTGAACCAGTAACGTGCAAACACGAGTTTGTAGAAAGTATAATTGACGTAAAACTTTTCTCCAAATATCTGTCACATTATGAATAATTATGGACACAGCAGCCCGTGGCAGGTTGTTAATTGGAAGAATATAAACCGCCGTGCTAGAGTACAGGGCCTCCTCTACTTACGAACGCGTTAGGTTTCAGAAGTCTCTTCGTAAGTCCAACTTAACTCCTGCCGATTCCAAACATATTTTTACGGCATGTACACTAAACACGGAAATAGCTTTAAAAGTTGTGCAATCTCCTGTAGATGTACATGCCAGTGGTTCTTCACGTTCTGTCACCACTGCCGTCTATTGCACGGCAGTTGAACGTACGACCCTCGGTCTGAACAGGCAACTTGACATACGGACAGGTTTGTTCGTATCTTTGAAAGTTTGTAAGTCGAATGTTCTTGAGTAGAGGAGTCCCTGTATCATCGCCCAGTGCCGGATTAAGCTAGTGCGGGGCCTGTAGCATATGTTATAAAGGGGCCCTTATTCAATAAAACTATGAAAACACACATTTTTTTACTTGCATAGTAAAGTCACTATATTTTTTAATTTACTGTACATCCAGAAAATACGATAAATCCCGAACCTTAAAATCCCAGTCGTTCATAAAAGTTGAAGGCGGTATAGTACTATAGTAATAGAGCAAGTGCAGAATCACTGAACCGGAATTGATAGCTTGAAAACATTTAGCGCGGGGCCCTCCTTGAAAGTGCGGGGCCCGTAGCTACTACACATGTAGCAGCTACTTTTGCTACGAGGATCATCCGGCACTGCTATCGCCCCGTGTTCAGAAACCCGTCTCCTCGTCCAGGGCTCGGCGGCCTGCGTCTCCAGAGCCACATGTGATGCCTCTTTGGCTTTCAAACCCCTGGCTGCTCCTTGCGGCTCTTTTGCTGCCACCTTGTGGGCAGCCGTTTGTTGAAAAAAAACAACCAAATCTTAAACACTATTTAACGCAAACATTATAAAAAAAAATGTATGAAAAGAAACGGCACTATGGAAATGTCTTGGTGACACCAAAATGTACAAAGGTCAAATTGTATTAATAGAGAATATCTGAAGGGGGGACAACAAAAAGCTGTCTCTGGTGTGGACCAATGAGTTTCAAGGACAATGCATAAATTATCAGAGTATTTTTTTGTTTGCATTTTGACTGCAAGCATTGTGGTTAATGTAAACATACCTTGCAAAAAGTGTCAGTTTTGTTGCCAGAAAAAAAAGGGGAAAAACCCCTATTCGTATATTTTGGTACTTGCAACGGAGGCCTCATGATGGGCGACAACAACTAAATGGCCGCAGTTTATTCAGTCACCTATTTTGTTGATTTCAGTCGGAATGTTTGTCATCTGTCGTATAACCTGCCATGTTTGTGCACGTGCACAAGTAGCTCTGCGTGTGATGCAAGCCTCTTGGGCTACTTTGGTCAAAAACTAAAAAAAAACACAAATAAAAAATGGCTCCTTCTTCGTTAAAAGGTTTCCAACCCCTTGTCTCTTAGTCCAATGTAAACACGTGGGGGAGGGGGGGGGGTATTGCGGAGACACAAGACGCCCGCAACGTCTGCATCCCTAGCTAGCTCACATTCTATCCAAGGAGCACACACTGCGTGTATTGCAAAGCGGAAAATCTAAACAATGTCTTCAATGCATAGGCTGAGTATGGACAACTTTATTATTATTATTTTTAAAGCAATGCACTTTAGTTTTCCTGTGAAGGGTACAGAATAGATTTATCATGAACGTTTAAACAAGATTCATGAAATCTACACCAGCTGCGCATTTTAGTTTTGTGGTGTAATCAAAATTTTGTAAAAATGTATAAACATTAACAACCCAGTTGTTACGGAATAATAATAATACTTGTCTTGAACACATTGCTCACACTTAGTGCACATATATGGATTCATTTACTGAGAGCTCCGGAGTTAAATCGCTTCGTTTAATGGCAGGATTAATGGGGGGGAATAATTACACAGTATACAAAAGTAATAGCAGCTACAAGATATTTGTAACAAACGTATTCACCACATACACTGATACACGGCATTCTTAATAAATGGCAGATGTCTCATTTTCCACAGCAAGCTGCTATCTCTCCACTACGTCGACAATAATTGTTTAGGTTTTACATTTTGATTTCATAAGAAACACGTAATAGCAAAAATTAAGACACACCATACATTACAGTAAATATGTACACGTGCTGCGTAGAAAAGATGATCATTAGCGCGAGACGTTTCCATCTCCTTCATAAGTGAAATCATAAATTGCAATTTGTATGTTACAGATGTACAATTAGGCGTGGTGGGAAACTGTCCACGTCAACACGCACCGCTAAACGTCGGAAGAACGTTAGCTTCCCTGGAGTTTTTAGTTTTTAAAGAGGAGTCGTAGGTTCTCGGGATTTCTGATGATGATGATAATAATGAATAAATTTGGTTGTCGGACGAAATGAATCATATCATTCTTCGGAAAAGACACAGGGTGAAGGACATGGCAAGCAGCTGTTGAAGAGAGAGACAAAAAACACCACTGTGTTATTGATGATTTTTGTGTATAATATGAAACCCAAGGAGGGCCTGGGGGAGACACGTGATGCAAAGCAATATGAAATATAAACAACATCGTAAACCTGATATCAACATTGGCATTAGGCGAACATTTTAGCAACAGAAAATCATACATTAACAATTTGAAAGGTTAGGGAGTATACTTTGAGTATACTTTTTCATCGACATATAACTACATTTCCAGTAAGCTACACTGAAAGTTATATTTGTTGTATATTTGACATTTTACATTTAAAAATAATAATATTGAATTGCTCTACATTTGTTATATATTGGGTATAAACCATATATGTGACCTAAAGTTTGATTTTAATAAGCTTACTAAATGTGTGCCATCGAACAATGTGTTCATTTCGTAATGAACGGAAACTTGTATAAACATTTAATGCCTGTTGTTCATTTGGAGTTTGCGTGTTTTACCCCGTGGTTGCATGGATTTTAATACCTCTCGTCCGGTTTTGCCTCTCTAAAATTTAGAAACACGTGTTGACATTACTTCGCTGCTGCTTGAAAGTCCCACGTGATGATGATATAAGCCGCTGCAATGAGCTATCACGTGTGGCCAGGTCGCCTCTGATAAAGAGCTAATAACTCAGTGGGCTTTGACAGCTGATGTAAAAATATCATCATAGAAGAGAAATATAACGAGAGAAACAATTCCGGAATGGATTGCAAAAATTGATTCCTCAAGGACGTATTGAGCCAAGCAATCGGTGGAATTGTTTCCTCTCAACTGCAATGTGTGCACACAGGATGGTATTAGAATTCCGTGGGGTGGTTTCAATTGAGCATTTTCTTTTAATTACAGCCCTGGAGGAAAAGGGGGATGCAGGCGTAAGATGAAATTTCATCGTACCGAACAAAACGTGACCTTGATTGCCAATCCTTAATGGCTTTGTGCATAATAGCGGGCGATGTTTTGAGAACAAGGCATTACAATTATCCGCAGTCTCAATTTATTTCTGGACATTACGTTGACCTACTTCACCGTTCATTCATCGGAAATATTGTGCACGGTGGGCTTGCTGACTGAAAAATATGGTAGCCGACGGAGTGATCCTCGTGTGGCAATGGATTTGGAGCTGCTGCGCTGGCTGGCAGTGGTGCACAAGCCCAATTGACGCACGTACACTCGTCACCAACACTGTGTGTGTCCTTAAAATAAAGAAATATTGAAGCGGCCACATTTTGGGCAATTGCCCTCCTGCTTCATAGCGCAACATATAGCAAGTGCTGTGGAGAAGGGTCATTGCCAGAAATATCACCAATTATATACAGGGTGGCCCAAAAGTCAGGACACATGGGCTGGCAATGTTGTTGACGACATGGCCGGATTAAGGTTCTTATAGGCCTTAGGCACTTCCGTTTCATAGGCCTTCAGTGATAACTTTAGTGATAATGCCTTGTCTTTCCTTGCACTACTCTCTATTGAGAATTAGATTGTGCAAAAAACACCATTTGAAGATGTCATTGCAAATTTTTACATGAAAACATCTCGAAAAATTAATCTCTGGTGTGAATTCCTCTCACGTGATTTTTTTTTTTACATTGACATGAATCTGCCTCTTAGTATATACACTGTGCCTATCCTAGCTATATGAATGTATTTATTCAAGAATATATCTTGGTAAAAATTTTTATCGTACAAACAACAACAAAACATTGTTAAACATTTTTTGTTCGTAGGCCCTTTAGTTTTCACTGTGCCTATTGGATAATATGGCCCTGGTTGATGGGCGTGTTGAGTTCTATTGGCTGGCAATAGTCACAGAAGGACATCTCCAGTGGCTAGCATTAAGTGATTGAAAGCACGCGTTAAATCAAACATCGTGGGGCCAGCGAGTTCTTGTGAAGTGCACATGCTCGCTACAGATTCAGTAAACATTTTCTTTCGTTCTTTCGGTAAAGTCACGTAGAATGAGAATAAAATAATAAATTAATAAAATAAAATAACACAATTAAATTCTCACGACGTTTCGGCCACAACACAAGTGGCCTTCTTCTTGTGTTGTGGCCGAAACGTCGTGAGAATATTATTGTGTTATTTTATTTTATTAATTTATTATTTTATTCTCATTCTCCGTGACTTTACCGAAAGAACCAAAGAAGATGAATCCTTGCAGTCACGAAAGCTTTAAATCGAAATTTATCAGTAAACATTGTGATCAACTAACGGGTGCCATTACCTTCAATGTAAAGTTCTGCTACTGAAGAAATTACATCGGATGGTGTAGTGAATTAATATTCTCAACACAAACAAATTGACGTCACATTGAGTGAGTATAATTGTGCATTTCATACCTGTATTAGGAGTAACCCTATGACCACTCCTCCCACAGTCAGTATGTAGTTGTGAAGGGACTGCATAATTTTCGTGTAGCATCCCTGTCAAGGAACATTTCCACCAGAAATTAGTTTCGTCGCTAATCTTGCTTCATTACGTCGGCAGACCTGCAAACTAAAATCGTATGTGCATTTTACGCGCTAAGAATACTTGACCGTGAGACCATCTGCCACCCGGTTTGCTGACAGGTCCCAACTCACTCCCTTGGTGGGGCTCCGTAAAAATCACTGCTACCCTTGGGGCATTAAGGAAGAGCAGTTCTATGTCTGTCAGTGAAATGAAACAATTAAACCATTACGCTGTGCTTTTTGCAGCTGCTCACAGCTTAGCGCAGCGACACTGCGTTAGGATCTGTACAGCGTCCCACTAGATTATAAATACAAAACATGTAAAGCATAACTACCACCCAGTCTCCACATCTAAATAAAAAAAACAATATTTTGTATTCAATCAGCCTATTTGGCTTTCCAGGCCAATGTTATCAAGCAGCCTTTGTTTAAGCGAGCAAAGCGTGAACCAGTTTCAACTGTCTGGGTCTTAATAGCAGAGCCAGGCTTGTTAAACAATTGCTGCTGGATTAGCAGCATTGGTAAGAGCACTCCACCTAAACTTTGAGGCCCTGTTAATAGCGAACAGCAAAGATATATGAAAGCGGTATTTGTACAGAGTTTTGAGATGCAATTGGACGAAATATGCTATAAATAATAATGTTAATCATTATAATAGGTATGGAAAATATAAAAGACGAATTTACTATGCTTGAAATACCAATGTTAAATTGAAAAAAAACGTGACAAACTTAGCAATAGAAAAAAATGTACTTGACAGGAACTTGAATGAAAGTGTGTTTTGAATTGTTCTTCTGTATTTTATATTTTACGTGGTATTTTTTTAACACAATGGGCAGGGACATAATTCCATAATTCGTACAGAGCATATGCCTAAAACATTCATAAGAAAATTAACCTCAAGAACTACAAAATGAATGTCTTTATGCAATTCTAAAAATGGAGTGATTGCTATTATTCCGAGTATGACATATCAATAACAATAATTATTTTACTACCCTTTGTCAATCTACAGCTCAAAAAAGGATCCCATAAGCCACACTGGTCAAGGGGATTGGTACCATGCTGGTTATTGTGGGTTGGTGAAGTGTGGGCCTGATGTTAGCCATGACCAGGAGTTGAAATGTGGGTCGCTAGGTTCATAGTGCAGCGCCCTCACCACTTCGCCACCACGCCTGCCAGACATAACAATATCTGAGGGTAAGGAATAGATGCTGTAAAAATAATCATCACCCCACCTCCATTTACAGTTGTCTCAGTCGCTCAACTCCAGTGTTAAATATGGCCGGGAATCAAACTTAGGTCACCAGCTTCCACAGCGCTGTGGAGCCAATCACTTGCTTCCCCTTCATTCGGATAAAATTGCAAGATTTAACAATCGTTCCACTTAATTTCCAAAACTTATATCGTCATCTGTTTTGTAGCTCTGAATCGTATTACTATGACGATGTCATCACGAGGAGTCATAATCCCAGTATCAACATCGTCTTCAAATGTCGAGCAACTGTTCGGTAAATGGTTTCCCCACGGCAAAGCCATTCATCACGGTTCTGCAGGTCCTCTTGAAAATCAATCCCGAGATTTGTTTTGTTAAGTAACAGATATCCGCCAGGCTCTTCCGCTCCTCCCCTTCCACCCTGGAGGTGCCTGTGGAGATACCTGCTCATTCCGATGTCGGGGGTCCCCCAGCAAGCATCTGAGCCTGTCCATCGTGGCCTGACTCTCTTCGTGAATGTCTCCCTTGCAGCATGCCTCTGGAATAATCTTGCCCGAGGACAGCTGCCAGAAGAGGGTCCCTTCCCAAAAATCCGAGGGACCTCGCACCCCACAGCACCCGAACTGGATATGCAGTGGGGAGACAGTGGTGGGGGCAGGGGGAGGGAGGGGTTCAGGACGAAGGGGGATGGGGAGGGAGTGAGTGAGTCAGGAGGAAGAGGGTTCAGGAGGGAGGGAGGGAGGTTTACAACATCAAAATCAGCATCTTTGTTTAGACTGGAGGAGGAATCTGATGAGCTATGAAGCTCTTTTTTCACAGATGTCCAGTATTGGCGGGTCAGCGAGTTTCTACAACAGCAAACGATACAACAGCAGCAACAACAAAATAGAAAAAGGTGAGCGAGTCGCTAACTATAAATTAATAAAAGTGTTTTTATAAATGAATTAAATAAGTCCGATTTAGGAATAGGTTTTACCCTTTTAACTGGCACAAAAACTGACACCTTTATTAAAGGCATCATGTTTGCAATAACCACAACACAAGCAGTCAAAATGCAAACAAAAAAGACAACTCTGATAATAATATGCACTGTCCTTGAATTTGATTGGTCCACACCCGAGACAGCTTTTCTTAGAGCCTAGTCTCCACTGGTGTTGGACCAGAAGACGCCAAAAGGCGTACAACTCAAAAAACAGCACACTATCAGAGTATTGAGGGCTCGGGGTGAGCATGTACATTATGAGACCTCCTTTGCCAGTAACAAGATATAGGAATAGGTTTTACCCTTTTAACTGGCACAAAAAAAAACAACAACAAAAAACCGGGGGATGGGCGGATGTTCCATGAGCACGGCATTGACAACAACAAACAGGTCCCATAAGAAAAGGACTCTTTACCGTCTTCATAGCTGAATTCCAAAACCTTGAGAAAACATCAGTGGCGTTGTCTCCTTGATAGCGCATCTTGAGCTCGAGAGCAAAATAATCTTCGTTTAACTACGCAGAGGCGGGGTTAAGGGGGAAGCGAGCAAAACGGAATTACCGATGGAAACATTGCGTCACCAATTCTTGACACACATTCTTCATATTAATGCATTTATGCGTATATTGTAAGCTTTTTGAAGGCTGTGTATGTGAGTAAGTGTTTGCGAATGAAAAGGGTAACTGTTGATCTTTCAATTTAAGAACCGTCAATATAGATGTTGTTTTTCCTCCCTAAAATTATGTTTATCAGGGTCCCATGGCATAGTGTCAGTGTCCAACTATTGTTCTACTCAATCTCTCAGGACCGTTTCATCTCACCCCCATGAAGAAAGGGGCATTGCTAAAGACATGACCTCTTATATTTGTTTATACTTTTTAGAGCGGAAGTTATTGGCTAATGGGTTGAGCTTTTGTCTGAAAGCATTGCTATTTTTAGATGGTACTAATTTGTGAAAATGTCCAGTTAATGTACCGTACAGTTTATCGTGTTTTCTGAATTTCGATGAGAATTATCCCGTGTTGTAAGAGAAAAAAACAAACTTGAAGCTTTTTTCAAGAAGCCGGCATTCAATAAACTGGGTACGCAAATCGCAATAGGCAATACATGTGTCATTGAAGCACGTACAATATTTAGCTAATCCTCCATTCTGAGAATAGGTGACCGTGAAAAGGTGCAGCCCCGCTACTTTTTAGTCACGCGCCCTGCTGTAAGAATGGCCTCAAATAGAGGGTGGAGGTACCCATACTTTACCTCACCACAAGCGGCCTGCTGATCAACTAACTGTGGGCGTGTGACCCATTTTATACCATTGGCTTTAAGAAACTTGACCACTGACGTTGCAAGCCAAAGAGTCGAACCAATGACCTCTGGATTGCAAATTCGGTTGCGTTAACCTTTACTCCACAGCAGCACTCAGGCAGGATAAGTACAGAGGACTCCCCTACTTACGAACGAGTTAGGTTTCAGAGGTCTCTGTTCATAAGTCGATTTGTTCGTAAGTCCAACTTTACTCCTGTCGATTCCAAACACGTCGTACGGCATGTACACTAAACATGGGGAATGGCTTTAAAAGTTGTGTAATTTTCTGTACATGTAGATGCCACTGGGTCTTCATCTTCTACAGATGTAGATGCCACTACCGCCATCAATTGCGTGGCGGTTGAACTTACGACTCTCGGTCCGAACAGGCAACTGGACATATTGTCAGGTTTGTTCGTATCTCTGGATGTGCGTAAGTCGAATGTTTTGTAAGTAGAGGAGTCCCTGTATGGCAATAAATAAACGACAGGTCGGTGGGGATGGAGGATCGTGTTTTGTTTAAACAGTTTGCTGCATTGGCCACTGTTGGAAAGCAGGAACGATCCACTTCGTGTCTACAAAATACAAGCGGCTGGGTTCAGTGTTTGCGATGGATAGAAGCCACGGTTTTGGAGTACAGTACCTGTTCTCGAAAAACAAATGCCACGATCGCCGTAACTAACTCGACCATGAAGATTATCAGCAGCAGAATGAAGAACTGGAACCGAAAACAAGCACCAGACCAATCATTTGCATCGTTGTGGCTGAAAATAGAAAGGTCAACAATGATTCACTCTCCCACGTTTTTTTCTCACCGAGGCAGAACCAGCGAACACGGTCACAGAGAGAGATGTGTATATGTATGTATGTTGAACTTCTTTCGTACCGCACGTAACCAACTGTGCTAATCGGAGGTGCGGGGGAAGGACAACAGTTTAGTTTCTGAATAAGCTACCAGTACATGCAGCGAAACGTCGGACGTCATGCCTTACAACAATGCAGTGCACTCCAAAGTAAAGATTGGAGAGCTATACAGCACAACTTCAAAATAACTAATCAATCATGCGTCTTCTTTGGTTCTTTCGGTAAAGTCACGTAGAATGAGAATAAAATAATAAATTGATAAAATAAAATAACACAATAAAATTCTCACGACATTTCGGCCACAACACAAGCGGCCTTCATCAGATGAGCCGATCATCAGATGAAGGCCGCTTTTGTTGTGGCCGAAACGTCGTGAGAATTTTATTGTGTTATTTTATTTTATCAATTTATTATTTTATTCTCATTCTACGTGACTTTACCGAAAGAACCAAAGAAGATGAATCCTTGCAGTCACGAAAGCTTTAAATCGAAATCATGCGTCTAACCGAGTACAACTAGATTGCCAATGTATTGTCATGGTATATTTTAAAAGCCGATCATTCTATTGGGCCCGTGTTGTAGCGAGACGGGGATCTTGCCAAATAAGGTCCGGTAAAGCGGCAGCAATTATTTCGGAAGCCTGGCCGCTGATGAGCACCTGATGGGTAAAACCAGTTCAGAATTTTCACGCCTCTAGAAATTTTCTCTGGTTAACAGCGGACCAGTTGGCTCTGAACTAAAAGAAAATGTTGTTCATATGTGCAAATACAGAATGGAAGTAGATATATTTATTTATTATCCAAAATGCTCTACTCAATTGCTCAGCGAGTTTTTAAAAAAAAATTAATCACGTTACGTGAATGTGGCTCGTAAGATTATACCTTACCAACAATATTGTCAATGTCTCCGCGTTTTATGCCAGTATTCTTGTCGTTACCTCTCCAGCACATGACAAAGATTGTCACGTTTACAAAGATATCGTTTACAGATTTCACGACTGAATTCCACATCAACGTACGTTTCTCTGAAACCGCTTTGATCTTCATCAGGTAGCGAGCTCAGATGTCGAGTGTTTAACGATTTATTAGTTACAAATGGCAACTGCTCAGTACACACATTCGATACGTGTAAAGAGGTTTAATTAGAAACTCATAACAGAGCCTATGAAGTCCCTAGCAATCCTTGACATTCTCTCTTATTCCATTACGTGCAGCCTCATAAAGAGCTCATCTTACATCCTGGAGAACATATGGTGGAATCGTCTAATAGCACGGCGAAACGCTCTCTAAGAGCAGAGAGAGAGAGAGCGATCTTCCGTCTGCCAAGGCAGCAAATTTGTTTCAAGCGTGACAATTCTACTTCAATACCGGATTGTGACTCAAGGACTTCAGGTTCATAAATGCAGCCAGGAAAACAATCATGCACAGCGGTTGGCAACGCAGTGGAGATCAAAGTGCCAACGGCTCTCATCCCTAATCCTTTCGTAGTTTTACGAATGGTTACATTTTAAAATAGCTGCAAAATGTCGACTACTCTGATACACAGGCATATGTTAAAGTGTAAATGGTGTGGCATCAGGATGCAACATGAGCCATTCTAAATTGAAAAATTATTTCTTTAGAACTGCTTTTTGTGTTTAGTTTATTGTCCTCCCCCCCTCCCCACACCTCCTATTAGCACGGTTGGCTACGTGCGAGAAGTTCAACATACATACATGCATTTATTGTCTCATCGTGGACATGGTGTAACAGCAGGGTGCGAGATGAAACAATGAAATGTCTCATCTTAACGTAACCCAATGGATTAAGACCTGCCTTCAAAACAATGCTTCCCCTCTAAATCGAATAATCCGTAGCACCCACTTCCAGATGTAGCCACCAAATATAGTAGAAAGTCAGAGAAATCCCGGTGGCATGCAACGATGGTAATCATAAGCAGACCGTGGATCACATTTGTGAACCGGTGTGAACCTCTCGGTTTAAGTTCAGTGGAGGCATTTGAGACATCCGTTCAGCTTCCTGTGCTTGGTCCATCAGACCTGGCCATTGACTTACGAGTTGCGACACAAAGACATGGGCAAGAAGGGAACTAGAAAGGGGACAATGGAATTCAGTGGATGAATGGCATGCAATCTGTCTTCGAATTGCTCCAAACACGCACTGTTGGACGATCTCTGATATTTCTCTCAAAATGTACCACTTTGCGACTCGCAGATGGCAGTGAGGCGGTGTTTGTGGAGCTGTCCATCTTCGTCATGGAACATTTTTTGCCCACTCTCCGGATCAGGCCGCTCCCTTCCAAAGCACAAACTTTAATTTCGGAAATTGAATTTATCTTTGCTGATATTTGGCGTATCCCTCGTCCTTGCACCTAGCTTTTGGTAATTTAGTTATACGTCAGGTTGCCACCTCTGAGTTAAAAAAAAAACCAATTACCTATCGTGGGAAGAGGAATAACTGACAATAGCAGAAGAGGGGGCAACTGCATGCATATGCATTGTCTTCAGGGGTGTGTTATTATGCAACTGACATAAAATGGGGCTTGTAGTGTCCCGGGAAGACTTACACATTTCCAAAGGCAACTACCTCAAAAAGGGGGACGACTCTGGAAAAACCAAGGCAGGTGGCAACCCCCAGTGACCAGCGTAATGACCGATGCCTGTGAATAATTCAACAGTGGCATGGCGGAAGATACGAGTTGAGATTCAGTGCAAAAGGTGGCACATAAATAAACACCAGAGTGCATACTTTAAAATACCCAGCCATTCGGGAGAGGTGTCCACTTGCCACTCGCTCTCCCGCACACAAGACAAAGATCCCCCATATAGCCTTAACAGACTGTAGGGGCAAGTGCTGTTAGCGAGCACCTATGAAGGTCGGAACGGTACACGAGGGGGTGGGTGGCCAGCACCACGCCCGACCGCCTTTGTCTCCCCAGTGGCGATGTTTACACACTGCACCAGATACTCATTTGAGGCTGAGTCGACCTAGGGGAGGCCCAGGACCGGTTCAGATAATTGTCACTGGTGTTGGCCGTGAGCGGGAATTGAACCCGGGTTGCCGGGTTCACAGTGCAGCGCGCTAACCGCTACACTATCGCTCCCCACTCTCCCGCCCACGCACACACGCACACACGCACGCACACGCACGCACACATGCACACACACACACACGCACACACACACACACGCACACACACACACACGCACACACACACGCACACACGCACGCACACACGCACACACGCACACACGCACGCACACACGCACACACACGCACGCACACACGCGCACGCAAATACTCACGAAAGTGAGCGTCCTCCGGCTCTCACAGAGAGCTCCGCAGCAGCCCAGGAGCCCCAGCAGCAGAAACACGGCCCCCACGGCCAAAATCACGTGCACACTCCTCAGCAGCAAGGGATGATGGGAGGAGACGACCTCCGCGACCCCGCCAGGGTCCGCCACTGCCCACACGCCCACCGTGACCAGGCAGAGCCCCGCCAGCTGTCAGACGGGATTCAATTAGCGGATTGCAGACACCCAGAGACTGGCAGCCAGGAATGCTCGCCAGCAGCTCCGTGGTATTCCAGGACTGCAAATATTATTAGTTGGGAGTGAGGCTGGTGGAGGGGGAACTATTTTTAAAATTCGTCATTTGGGATTTGTGTGTTTCTGTGCTGTTGTTAGCTTGGTGTAGGCTGCACCAAGGTTCTGGGTGAAGTTGAGTGGCAGTCGGTAAAAAAACAACAACCCATTTTTGTCTTCTGCCGTTCATAGAAACTTCGTTTAAAGAGATAAACAGTTCCGCAAGGAGAGGGATTTATGTTGTTGTTGTTGTTGCTCAGGTCACGATCAGCTCTTCTCTAAACAGTTACTCGTAAAACAAAAACAATTTCAGAAACTTCTTAAATGCCTTTGGAGCAAGGTCAATGAGACATAAATTCTGTTCAAGTACACCGCTCAAGCCACAGGACATTAGCACTATACGATCCATCGTAAACGTAAAAATGGGAGGTAATGTTAACACATGACCTGCCAGCTGATTTACTTGAAACCATAAGGAAACTTCAAAAGGATTATGGACAGCAGGAGGTGTTACTGCTAAGCCCAGGTATTTGGAAGCTTACGTGCTTAAAAAGCCTGTGCAGACATGAGGGTTGTGACTTACAAAGATAAGGGCGTTGAAGAACACCATGAGGTACTTGACACAGCTCAGGCATGTCCCCTCCATGCTGACGATAGAGGCAGCGACGCCAGGGCCGGTAGGGAATCCTGGATCGTAGCGTTTGGCGTTGGGCTCTGGAACAGACACAGATGCATGAAGCTCGGGGTACGTGAGCATGCCCGGCCATTTCTGTCTCTCTTCACCAAAAAAACCCTCTGGGCTCACGCAATGATGGATATTTATTCATTGAACGAAATCGTTGGTGCTCCCAGCCGGTTTCGTTCCTACCCACGGCCATGTTACCGACGGTGTGAATGACCTCTGAAGCGAACGTTGGGCCCCTCTACCACACCCAACCCTCACTGGCCGTCGTGGTGAAGCATAGTCGTGCAACCCACACGAAGGAGATGGGATAAGGAGGCCTTTATACAGCACCAGAGTTACATATCGTTCGCGTATTCATGAAGAGTTTAATTGACGAACTGGCTTAATTTAAAGGCAAGTGAGAAACCTATTGAGCTGTCAAGCTCCGCTTAAATGCAACTGTCTTTAAACACAGCACCATATCTGCCGGAGTAGAAACAACGGGAAATAAATATGAACAACAATGCAACGTCAATATGATGATTTCTTAACAGTTATAATTCCGTCACTTTTTATATTTGTTAAACGTTAACATATGTTGAAGTTTTTGATTTAAAGCTTTCGTGACTGCAGTAATTCATATTCTTAGCTCTTTCGGTAAAGTCACGTTGAAGGGAAACAATAAAATAATATATATAAAACAATACAAATTCTCACGACGTTTCGACCATAACACAAACGGTCGTCATCAGGTGTGTCGGTTTGCATTTATTTATTTTAAAACGGTGTATTTATTTTTATTGTTTTATATATATTTTATTATTTTATTGTTTCCCTTCAACGTGACTTTACCGAAAGAGCTAAGAATATGTTGAAGCCTCATACTCAAATACTTTTCATCTAAAATTACATTCACAAAGCGCCTTGCGTACAACTACAACTTACTCAAGGCAATTTACATCACACACACACATTGGGACAAGGGGGGGAAAACAGTCCAAGCAGTAGAAACGCTAACTCAGAGAAGCCAAGGGTCTATGAGTGTAACGTTTGAACGTTGAACTTCTCTCGCACCATACGTAGCCAACCGCGCTAACAGGAGGCGTGTCGTTTAAACGCCGACGGTCGTCTCCGAGAGGCAGACACCACTGGGCGAGGCGATGGCAACGCAGCGAGAGGCAGCACCGCACAGGAGGCACCAACAGCCACTGTGCGGAGGGAGGAACCGCGTCCGGGGAATGCCTAGGGGTCACCGGCCACCGCAGAGCTAAAACTAAACTAACTAAATCATTTTTTTTTAACCAGGTGGGTAAGGCCGACTGAGCCACGCAGCTCTTTTGCAGAAGCGACCTGGCCACAAATGATAGCTCAACAAAAGTGGCTTATCACGTGGCAATGTGTAGCTGCCGAATACTCCAAACGCCGCGTTGATTTTAAATGTGGAGGGAAAAAGCCGGAGGAGCTGGAGAAAAATCTACGCGACCACGAGGAGAGAGAACATGTAAACTCCAAATATACAAGCGTCAGGGTTTCCATCAAACCCACGACCTCCTGTATATCAGGCGAGGTGTTTAACGTCTGGTAAAAAAAATAAAAAAAAACATTTAAACGTATTGTTTTAAAATCATGGCATCACATTTAAATCATCATCTCTAGCCTGTTAAATGTCCTAATCCACAGAAGTGCCAAGCCGGTCAACCCAACGGTAGACGACTCAGCAAGGAAATGCAAAAGGACGCCGTGATCGGTAGTCCCAAACGCTGCTCTCAGGTCAAGGAGAACGAGAATGGACAATGCCTCAGTCAGTAGCAATGAGCAAGTTGTTTGTGACCTAGACAAGGGCTATCTCTGTACGATGCAAAACCCATAAAACAGACTGAAGGGGCTCTAAAAAGCCCATTTGAGGTCAAATAATGGCCCTGCGATAGTTTGTCAACGACACGCCCTGGGATCTTAGAAATAAATTGAACATTTTAGATTGGTCAAAAGTTGAGATGGTTCGGGCACCTTGTATGGATACCCCCCCCCCCCCCCCCGATAGACTCCCCCTGGAACTCTACCGGACACGACCCACTGAGCGAAGACCCCGGGGCCGGCGCAGGGCCCTCTGGCGGGACTACGTCGCTCGACTGGTGTGGGAACGCCTGATTCTGTGTATAGCAGTTCACAGTAGTGTAGTGTATAGTGTAGTCTAGCAGCGCATAGTGTAGTGAAGTACTTGCATAGCAATGTAGTGCTGGAATCTGTTGCCAGGGCAAGGGAGGTCTGGACCGCCCTACTCAACACACTGTCGCTGCGACTCGCACAAGCGGGATTGAGAAACGAACGAAGATTGGTCAAAAGTATGCTCAATGTACTTGGGTCTAGATTCGGTGGGGGGGGGGGCGTGTGGGGAGTTTTTTCGAGAGGAAATGTGGTGGCGATTCATAAAGGAGGTGGAACATTGGCAGTACGAGGTAACGACTGTTTACACATACATGCACCAATTGAAGTTAACAGTTCAAAACTGGCGCACACAAAAGGGTCCAAGGAGTTGGATCGAGTGAACGGGGGTGGTTGGCGTCGATTTGGCAACCAATGCAGCAATATCAGACGATGAGACATCTGAAGAATTCGCCAAATGGGGGCACGCTAATGTGTCTGAAGACTCAGGCAGATCGGATTAACTATCAAAAACGATTTAAAAAGCACCATTATGCCATCACAAAAAAAATATATATCACAGATGCGTTTAATGATGAATCCTTACCAAAAACAAATGCATTTCTGCAAAATTTATTCGGGGGATAGATGTCATTTGATGCGGGGCCTTATTTCCAAATCGACCAGCGTATAACCGCAAACTCGACTGCATCGTCCGAAAGCGTGAAAGTCTGTACGCGCGTCGCGTTTCAAGAACCACAATGGGTGGCGCTGTGACAGTGTTACGGTGCCAATTCAAACTGCGTCACACATTTTAAGGACGAGTGCGTTGGGTAACTTCCAGCTCCACACTGTGTAGACGAAACGCAAGCCCTGAAGCATGACCTTGTTTCAAGGTGGGGGTGGTGGTGGGGGCGGTAGACGAAAGCCTCAGGGAGCGGTGCAGAACATTAAATATAAAACAAACGTTAAAAAACTGTGAAACGCCAAAACAGAATCATTCGCGATATGATCTCTGCTTGCGTCTGTCGTGAACTCTGCTCCGGCTATCACAACCCCCACCCATGTACAGTGGATGAGGAAAGACTCTGATGCGCATCACTTTAACTTTAGTTTACACTTGTGGATAAAAATTTGTTCTACTCATATAGAATAGACGGGGGAGGGAGGGGTGGGGGAGTTTAGCTGTCCCCCTCCTCCACTCGCCCCCCCCTCCAAATGCAGTATGGGACTGATGAAACCTATTGTGAGTGCACAGTGAAAGTTGGGTGACCCATGGCAGGGCGACGGACTGCAAGAACAAAGTCACGCTGTATACTGTGCAGGGCGCTCCAATACGAAACTAAAACTGTTTTCTTCTTCTTTGGTTCTTTCGGTAAAGTCACGTAGAATGAGAATAAAATAATAAATTGATAAAATAAAATAACACAATAATATTCTCACGACGTTTCGGCCACAACACAAGCGGCCTTCATCAGGTGAAGGGACGAGACTGTCTGGTAGGACAGCGCTGGAGTGAAAGAGCCACGTCGTGAGAATATTATTGTGTTATTTTATTTTATCAATTTATTATTTTATTCTCATTCTACGTGACTTTACCGAAAGAACCAAAGAAGATGAATCATTGCAGTCACGAAAGCTTTAAATCGAAATAAAACTGTTTTGTTATTTTATCAGGTTGAGGCCCCCCTGCTCTTTCTTCAGAAGCGCCCTGGTCATCACAAGTGACACGAAGTGGCCCATCATCATCATCCATCATCACGTGGGCATTTATAGCTGCCAAATACTCTAAACGCACGTTGATGCTAAATGTGGTCCAAGATGTCTTGTGATCCCCAATTAATTGACCCATCACGTGTTTTTTTCCCTTTGCATATTCATTTATGTTTTAAATTAAACTGACTCAAACATATATTAATACATTTTACAGAAATGGGGGGGGGGGGGGGTAACAAGAGATCTGGACCACTCTGTGTACAGCATTGCCTGCTGCTCAACTGCCGTGTCGCCCATTGAACCGCCCGTGCTGCTGATGAGGAGCGGTGTCTCTGGTAAACGAAACGTCGGGTCTCTTAGACCCTCTTTACCATCGCTTTCCAACTGCCACGCTGGTGTTGTTCCATGCACAACGTTTATGCATTGCGGATTATCTCCGCCCGTCTGTCCGTGGCTTAGTGGGGTGGAGTCGTGGTGGGGGGAGGGAGCATGGTTACTCTCACGAAGGTCATCATCCATAATAGAGGTTTTATTGGGGGTTAGATCGCGTAAATATATGAATGTGTCGTTAAACCCGCCACCACCCGACACAACCAACTAGTAAGGTTTGTCGCGTAAACAGAACGTGGCCAATTCGTTACTAAGTGCAGCACACCGGTGTGTTGGAGAGCAAATCAACAACATTGACAATCTGAGTACGACGTTTCGCCGGTAATTACAACTAGCTTCATCAGGCGACGAATTGGCATGTTCTGTTTACGTGACAAACCTTACTTATAGGCTGTGGCGGGTGGCGGCGTGTTTAACGACACATTTATATATTTACGCGATTCAATCCAAACGAAACCTATATTATGGATGATATTGGTCGCGAAAGCCTAAACTGAAGCTGATACAATTTGAACGAAACTCGCGAAGTAAAAGTCGCGTCGCCATTGCGGACTCAGCCTATTGGATATTGCTCACGTTTTTTAGGAGGGATTCCCAACACCCAGAGAAACAGAGAAGGATTTGAGTACTGGACTGCGTTTGCCAATGGAGTGGAGCGAGCTGTGGTGCTGCCCTGTGTGAGCGCGGTACGCCCGAGTTGGGGCTGAACGATTTTGGGGGAAAATATCTAATTGCGATTTTTCGTGGACAGATATTGCGATTTGATTTGCGATTACATTTTTTCTAAGTCAAGCTTCAGTTC